ATATATAAAAGGATGTCACATAGAGGAGGGAGAAAGGTTGTTTTCTGCTGCTCCAGAGAAGCGGACACGGAGCAATGGATCCAAACTACAAGAAAGAAGATTCCACCTAAACATTAGGAAGAACTTCCTGACAGTAAGAGCTGTTCGACAGTGGAATTTGCTGCCAAGGAGTGTGGTGGAGTCTCCTTCTTTGGAGGTCTTTAAGCAGAGGCTTGACAACCATATGTCAGGAGTGCTCTGATGGTGTTTCCTGCTTGGCAGGGGGTTGGACTCGATGGCCCTTGTGGTCTCTTCCAACTCTATGATTCTATGATTCTATGATATGTTATTCTTGTTTTATTCCGTATGTGAAGTCTGCAATTTGTGCATATTCTGTCAACTTAAGTTGCCATTCTTCTTTGGCTGGGACCTCACTTGTTTTCCATTTTTGGGCTAGCAAAACACGGGCTGCAGTAGTAGCATACATAAATAACCTTTTTTGACACCTGGGAATTTCCGTCTAAATTATCCTCCTTCCTTGGAGGTTTTTAGCAGAGTTTTGGATGGCCATCTGTCATGGATGCTTGAGCTGAGATTCCTGCATTGCAGGGGGTTGGACTAGATGACCCTCGGGGGACCCTTCCTACGCTGCACTTCTATGGTCAACAGAGTTCAAAGAAACAAATCCCAGCTTGGAGAAAACACTAGACTAGAGGAGGATGTGCAGCAAGGCCAGTGAAAGGAGAGTCCCAAGGGCCGCTTAAAGCTTCCTGGAGGGCCACATTTTGTCTGTGGACCTGAGGCTCCACACCTCTGCCCTGAACGTACCCTAGTGAATGAGTTGTGCTACCCTGGCAAGTGCCTCTCCAGACTCAAAGATCCCCTTCTAACCTGCCTCTCTCCCCTTGCGAGTCACTCCGGGCCTTTGAAGTGCCTTTGTGGAGCGTTTACATTTTGCACCCTTTGGTCCCCCCCCCTTGCTTTTTCGGCGCACAATGAGACAATCGAAGGAGAGGGAGAGGGAAGGGTGACCTTTAAAAGCCACCCGGGAGGAATGAGCGTCACCAGAAAACGAGCGACAGAGAGGAGCCTGTCAAGTTATCAAGAATAACAAGGAGCTGCTCATTTGCCTGTGATGGGAACAGACAGAAGCAAAGTCTCCCTGCTCTCGAAGGCCCCTTGCAACCCACACCAGCAGAGGCACACCCCACAGCAGGCTCCTCCGTATTCAAGGAAAGGGCATCATGTGGGGCTAGGGACGGATCCTGCAGCACAGAGCGCCTCTGGCTGGCACCGGCGGCCAATTCCCTTGGGAATTGTTGAGAACGAAGAGCCTTTCCCCTGAACTGGCCACCATTCCAGTCCAGACATTTCCCGTCTCGAAATGTCAGGCTGAAATCTTGATGGGTTGAAACTTGGTTTGGGCAGAAACCGTTTTCTCCAACAGCCACCTCTTTTCTCAAATACAAACCAGATTCTGGCTTCTGTATATGGCATTCTAGTTCAATGTCCATTTACAAAGGCCTCCTACACAACCAGACAAAGCTTGGAAGGGGCAGAGGGAGATTGAGAGGTTTTCAATAGAAGTGTCTTTCATCTGAAAAATTAGAAATTACTTGAAAGTACCAAATAGGCCTAGGATTAAATTAGGATCCAACTAAATAAGTGGGATTTACAACAGTAAGAAAAGTGAACAAGTTAGATTACAATTGGAAATATTTTTGTTTAATGATGATATTGGAAAGCTGTTACATCCAGATACAAGGAAACTCAGAAGGGAGGGACTAGGGGAAGTCAATAATATGTTTATAAGGTTGGATTTTTAAAGAATTAAGTTTGTTTTTATTGTTCACTTGTTTATTGTTTTCTTTTTTGATGTTACTTTCTTGTCTTTTGTTTTTGTTTTTGTTTGTTATTCTGTTATGTGATATTTGCTATAATTGTGGGAAAGTGTCTTTCATCTGGCGGACGTGTGGGTGCTCTTCGGACTCCCCACTTCAGCAAACAGAAGCCCTTTTCAGCTCCTCTCCACTCCTGCACCGGCCTGGGTCTCTGCCAATACACTCAGAAGCTGAACTGCCAGAAACATTTATCTGGGCAGCTCCAGAAAGGCGGCAAGGAGGAAAGGGTGGAAGGTTTCCTAAGACTGATCTGCCTTCGAAGCGAGGTGATGTTGCAGAGGAAGGCGACAGCTGCCAAACACCACTTTTTCCACTGTCCAAAAGCTGTGGGACAGCGCTGTGCAGATCACAAACTGCCGAGAGTCTCGGTGCTTGCTTTTTAAAGTTTCTAGCCCTCCACAAAATCTCAGAAGAGAGTGTCTGAACCTGGCTTCCAGCTGCTGCTCGGGGTTTCAGAAGCCTGCCGCTCAGCAAGTCTGCATGTGGCACCGACTTCTAATCTTTCTGCACCTCTCAACAGCTTTCCTTTAACTAAATTTCATTGCAAGTGCCAGAAGTTGACCCCACAGGTGTACACAAAATCGGCAAGCCATCACGCTCACAGGCATGCTTCATAGTGTTATGGGGGGGCACATCTTTAAAGTTGTTAAATGTTACAAATATGATGCATAAACGTATCCTTTCGACTTGACAGCTCAGGGAAGTTACCTAGCTTTAAAAGTCATATAAAATCAACTCCTTTGCCAGTTTCCTTCATTCCACTGCCAATTTGCATCATTGGCTAAGGGCTTGGAAACCACTCGGTCCCTGCCATAATCCCTCAAGTGGGAGGTCATGTACTCACAGGAAGGTACTCATAGGTGTCAACCGCTGGGCAAAAGCTCCTCTCCAGACTTGCCCAGGTGGCAGACTATGCAAACCAATGTTCTATTGTCCCTTTGTAGTAGGTGCTTAGAATGTACTTATACCAATACATATCCTGTATCTGCCTGTTCCCCTGACACATTCCTCCTATGTGAATCATGTATAACCCTCCCCTTTTCTGATGTAGCGATGATGTAGTGATGATGCTTAATGAACTGTATGCTGGGATAAGATAGAAACTTTTAAAAGTCCTTGTGACCCCATCCTCGGGGTTCAAAATTCCTCTTTGAACCTCTTGCGCCATAAACTTTGGTCTACAGCTATTTGCTCCAGTTGGTGGCTGGACTCCTTCCTTTATTCCGCAGGGACCCCGAGGAGCTGGGGGACTGAGCAGCCTCGCACCTAGATTTTTCTGTAACAATAGCAACGTCGCAACTATGGGTTGCAAAAGAAGACGGCAGAAGAGCAGCCAGTAGCTGAAACCAGAGCTGACCTAGGAGGCATCTGCGAAAGAACTAAGCTGTTCCTCTGACAAGGAACCCAGGAGATCCCTTCTGGCTTCTGTTGGAGAAAGAAAGCAGAACCTGCCTGCTCAGTGAGGCAGCTCTCCTTGGAAAGAAGCCCACAGATGCAAATGGTTTTCAGAGCCGTTTTTTTTGTTGGGGTGGGGATAGCAGAGGAGGGTTTGGTGGTGGCTAGCTAGGATCACCAGAAGGAAAGCTTCCTTGATAATAATAATAATAATAATAATGATAATAATAATAATGAAATTTTATTTATACCCTGCCCTTCCCAGTTCAGAAAACCGGGCTCAGGGCTGCTAACAACAAATTTAAAACACTTAACTGGTGCAACAAAAACCAGCATAAAATACAGTAGAAAATGTGAATAATAATCAATTCAGAATTCAAAAATTTAGGGGGAAAATCCATCCAATAAACATTAGATGATCACCAGGGCTAGCTGGCTAAGTTAGTCCTATTTGGGCCAGCGAGGAGACCAGGGGAGAATTAGCTGTGGGATCCCAGAGCGGGTAATCTTCATAAAAAGAGGAGGGGGAGGGAAGGAATGGGAATAAAAGATCAGGCTAAGTTCAAATTGAAAGCCAGGCGGAATAGCTCTGTCTTAGAGGCCCTGCGGAAGGAGGTTAAATCCTGCAGGACCCTGGTCTCATGGGACAGAGCATTCCACCAGGTCGGAGCCATAAGAGACGGTGTATCAAGAAGCACAAGCTACTGGAGACCTTAAAACGGAATGGGTTTCACTATCATATACAGCTTTGGCCCTATAGATCTGAAGGAGCATCTCCACCCCCATCGTCCAGCCCAGACACAGAGGTCCAGCTCCAAGGATCTTCTGGTAGCCCCCTCATTGCAAGAAGTGGGGTTGCAGGGAACCAGGCAGAGGACACCCGCCCCATGGAACGCCCTCCCATTAGATGTCAAGGAGATGAGTAACTATATAACCTTTAGAAGACGTCTGAAGGCAGCCCTGTCTTCAGAAGCTTTTTAACATTTTAATTTTTTATTGTGTTTTTATATACCGTACTTTTCCGTGTATAAGACGACCTTTTTTTATTTAAAAAGTATGTTTAGAATTGGTGGTCGTATTATACACGGATAGTGCATAGGGGAGATGTGTGATTGGTTGCTGCCGCGAGCCAGAGATTGTCAGTGGGTATTTGGCATGTTATTGGTAGCTGCGGCAATGACTGGTGTTGATTTGCTGTCCCTGTGGCACTAGGGCGGGCGATTGGCAGTTTCTGCCGGTGCGGGGACAGACGATAGCAGGCTTTTGCGATGCGTGCGAGTGGCAGTGGATGTCAGGCGAGTGAGCGATTTTCGACAATTCCCCAGGAAAAAAACCTCAACAACTCAGGGCAATCTCCCTCTTATACACAGGGGCATATTATACACAGAAAAATATGGTATGTTGCAAGCCTCCCAGAGGGGCAACGCAGTCAGATGGGCGGGGTACAAATAGTAAAACCGTCATCACCCCCCACTTGTGGAACTACCCTGTGGTCAAAGTCTAGCATCCGCCAGAAGATAAAACGCTGAGCTATGTGGACCACATGGAAAAGTGGTTCTTACATTTGAGGGGCTTCTCCTTGAGCCAGGACAACCCCCTCCTCACCCCACCCTGAGCAACGTCCTGGGGTCCCTTATGATGCCTTCTCTGAGCAAAGAACCAGGCAGGTTTCTGCAAGCGAGCTCTTCCTCCTCCTCAGGTGTGCTGAGCCACGGGGGACCTTACCTTGCCTGGAGTCGTACTGTCTCATCTGCACCTCCTCAACACATTCTGCCGGGAACCAGCCCGTCCGCCCCTTCACGGTTCCTTCCCAAAAGCCTCCTTCTCCGATGCTGAGCACTGCGGGAAAGAGAGGAAGAGAGGTCAGGGAGAGCCCTGGAAGAGAGCAGAGAGGAGCCACCAAACCACAGGCCCCCCAGTTGCGTCCATGTACCCCAAAACAGAGATGTCTCCAGAATAGCAAATCACTTGGATTCAGCAGCGCCCATTCGCCCTGGCTGAGTTTTCTCCCTGGACTTTGCTGCCACGACTCTCCCTCCTGGACCCTGGTTCCCCAAAACTCCTTTCCTAGGGCCCTGGGCAAGACTGGCTAGTTTGCTTCAGCTCTGTCATTGTGCAGAGTTGCCATGTGTCCTCTTTTTCCAGGACACGTCCTCTTTTTCAGGAGTAAAATTTCTGTCCTGGTGGATTTTTGTTTTTTTGTTTTGTTTCTTAAATCTTCAAAAAGTACATAATTATATATGCACTAAACATTGTGAGACGTAAATAAAAGAGAGAGAAAGAAACAGAGAAACACAACCTGTGTAGAATGGAAAATAAAGGGAGGGGGACCCAAAACTGTATACTTTACAAGATTGTTATTGCACTTCACCAGATCTTAACCTGTTACAGTATTTGTAAGAATGGATTCCAAATATCATTGAATTTCTCCATGGCAAATCTGTGTTTACAGTATATGCAAGTTGTTCATATGTTGCGAGTTTGCATAAGTCTTCAATCCAATCGTAGAAGGGAGCCACATTTTTTTAATGCAGAATTTTTTTTAATTTGCCAAAATGTCTGGCTATTCTTTTCTGGATGAGATACAGACATAACTGGTGGTTGAAGAGTTGCTTTCCTATTGTCTTCTCCAGACCCCCTCAGTAATAGATCACAGCTTCTATACATACAGCAGGGGTATTTAAAATTAGAGTCGTCATAGCATCCTCTTTTTTGCTTTTCAAAATATGGCAACCCGAGCTGGGCTTATTTTCCAAGGTGTTGGGGGGGAAGGGGGGGGAGAGATATTCAAAAAGCATTTTTTAAATCATCCCTCTCAATTAGTTTGGGTGAGAGAACAGCTTCCTGGTGATGGCACTCAAGTTGTGGAATGCCTTAGGAACATAAGGAGAGGCTTCAGAATCAGACCACCGACCCATTTAATCCAACACTGTGATCTCACAGTTGGCCCTCGGATGCCCCAAGAATAATCCTGCAAGCAGGACTTGAGTGGAAGAAAACTTGCAATTCCCAGCAACTGAGATTTAGAGGTATATTGTCTCTGGTATTAGAGGGAGAAGGAAGTCGTAATGGCTGTTAGCCATCAATAGCGAATAGTTGAATAGGATCCCAAAGGCAGCAGTCTGATTTGTCCTAGAACAACAGGGTCCAGAATGCAGCCGTCTGATTGGTCCACAGGAGCCACCCAATCCAGCTCCAGGTGGAAGTGAATCCGCAACCTGATTGGCCTACAGGTGAACCATCCTGGAATTAGCCAATCCCGTGGGGCCCACTGTGTAAATAATGTATATAAGGCAGACATTCTGGGGGAACTTCCATTCCTCCTCACCACTATGAGCTGAATAAAGAGCATAAAATCCACTCCGAGTATATTTCAAATAGCAATATTGGAGATTCTCACCCCACCCCGAGATCCGCCTAGCTCCTGCGCTTGCTGTTTTTCTGGCTGCCCACTTTGAAAACAGGATACTGGACTAGATGGGCCATTGGTCGGACCCCTCAGCCTCGTCTTCTGTTTCGCCGACCGGTTAAAACTTTCCCGTTCCAGCAAACGTCTCACTTCCAGAGCCAGTTCCCATTTTTAACGCCGTTGGTTTATGCTCTTACGGGTTTTTCGTGGTGAGAAGCCCCCCGCCCCTGAGCTATGCAAATGCCTTGAAGGGGCAAAGCCTCAAGTTTCCTAAATAAAAGTGAGGGGCCGTGACTTGAGGAGTGAGAAAGGCCATTCACAAAGTCTCAGGTCCCATGCACTACAAAAAAGGATCTTGGGCTGAAGACCCTGGCCTCAGCTGGAAGTTGACAGGGCTTGAGGGGTGTGTGTGTGTGTGTGTATGTGTGGACATGGGGTTTTGCTCCACGCAAGGCAGCTTCCTATATTATGACTGCTTCTCAGAGAGTCAGCTGCCTGGGGCCCCTATCTGTGTACATATTTATAATCCATGCTTACGGAAGACTACAACCAGCAAAAGGCATTCCTAAACCTCTATCATTTATTTGTTCATCATGGCATTTGCATCCCACCATTTTCTGCACAGAGCTCAAGGGGGCATATGTAGTTCTTCTCTCATTTAATCCTAACCACAACCCTGTGAGGGACGCGAGTAGCACTGTGGGTTAAACCACAGAGCCTAGGGCTTGCCGATCAGAAGGTCAGCGGTTCGAATCCCCGCAACGGGGTGAGCTCCCGTTGTTCGGTCCCAGCTCCTGCCAACCTAGCGGTTCAAAAGCACATCAAAGTGCAAGTAGATAAATAGGTACCACTCCGGCGGGAAGGTAAACGGTGTTTCTGTGCGCTGCTCTGGTTCACCAGAAGCGGCTCAGTCATGCTGGCCACATGACCCGGAAGCTGTACACCGGCTCCCTCGGCCAGTAAAGCGAGATGAGCGCCGCAACCCCAGAGTCGGCCACGACTGGACCTAATGGTTCGGGGTCCCTTTACCTTTACAACCCTGTGAGGTAGGCTAGGCTGAGAGATGCAGCGGCTGGTCTGTCCTCAAAGGTCCCACCCTGTGAGCTGTGTGGCCGAATGGCAGATGATGATGATGATGATGATAATACCCCACCCAACTGGCTGGGTTTCCCCAGCCACTCTAGGAGGCTTCCAGTAAAATATAAAAACATTTAATTTTTTTTTATAAAAAAACCTTCCTGATACTTCTCCCAGGTCACAGCTTGACACTCTAACCCTGGGATCAGCAACCTTTTTCAGCTGTGGGCCAGTTCACCGTCCCTCAGACCATGAGGTGGGCCAGACTATATTTTGAAAAAAAATAATGTATGGATTCCTATGCCCCACAAATAACCCAGAGATGTGTTTTAAATAAAAGCACACATTCTACTCATGTAAAAACAACAGGCAGGTCCCACAAATAACCCAGAGATGCATTTTAAATAAAAGGACACATTCTACTCATGTAAAAACACGCTGATTCCTGCACCGTCCGCGGGCTGGATTTAGAAGGCAATTGGGCCACATCCGGCCCCTGGGCCTTAGGTTGCCTACCCCTGCTCTAACCACTACACCACACTGCAGACAAAATGTATATTGCATAGGCCTGCCTAAACAATAGGGCTTTCAAAAGATGTCTGAAAGAAGGCAGGGGCAGTTCCTGGTGAATATCCACCGGCAGGGAGTTCCGCAGGACAAGGCCCACCACACTAAAGGCTCCGTCCCTTCTGGAGGCCAACTGAAACTTGGGGCCATATGGAGGGGGGGGCCCTGTGAGCACCTGTGGGGAACCCCCCCCCCCCGAAACTCTTTTGGAAGCCATGCAGTATCACAGAAGCAGCCTCTGTACAGACACAGTCCCTTGAGACAGAGGGGAGGGACCTTTTATTTTACTCTGTTTCCTGAATCGGGACCGAGTGAGGATGCATCACAGATCCAGACTCCTATACAATCGGCTTCTCCGTCATTTTTGGGTGGGTGGGGGCCTGTATTTGCACATCAATGCTCCCTTGTATGTTCAGAACCACCAAATTAGATTTGGAGATGCACAATTTAACTCTCTAGCTCATCGGGGAAAGAAACCGGGAGAGGGTGGGTGGGAGAGAGAGAGAGAGAGAGAGATCTGGGTGCAAGCCAGCAGCTGCCCTTTTCTTCCAAATGATTCCGGCTTCTTCCAATTAATGGCATTGTATCATTCCACACAATTTAACCCAAAAGATTCGGTTAACAAGACCAAGGAAAGGACTCGGGCCACACGCTCGCTGGAACAGAAGCACTTCGCTGCCATATTGACCGTGCAGAAGTGGGTAAGGAAGGCAGGAGGGGGAGGAGGGAGAGGAAGCCCAACATTAAAAGCCTCTCGTGGGTTGTAAATCAATATGTATTCATGGCTGCATCAGAGGCAGGAATGCAGATGGGGAAGCTGGTTAAAGCTCCAATGTTTTAAGCTTGCAGATGGTGGCTTCCAGGGAGATGCCAAGTGCCTGGATCTCGCTGCCCCGTGGTTCCTGCCCCCAGTCCGCCTTCTGGGCAAGCTGGAATTTGCAGCCCCTGCCCAGGAACACCAGGCCCCTTCTCTGTGCATATGCCCCCACCCTGCTTGGTTCCGTAAATTCGTCCCTATCAAACAGATTGTTCAGGATCGTGGTTTGCATCACACAAACAGTAATGCAAAACAGTAACAACTCACTGCACTTTAATTCAAAATCCAATTAAAACTATTTGGTGCCATTAATTCAACAAAACTGATGAACTTAACCCAGTGATACCAGCTTTTCAAAGTCTGGGAGTAAATGACACCTTTAACACCCCCCCATGCCACCCACCTGCTTCTTAGAAACCCCACCCCACTCAGGTAACCCCACTGCCCCACTTTGGAAACCAAGGGGTTAAACTCTCACCCCTCAGCCTGTAATGAAACTGAGCCAACTTGGTGTAAATGAAATGAATGCAGATCTCTCTCTCTCTCTCTCTCTCTCTCTCTCTCTCTCTCTCTCTCTCACACACACACACACACACACACACACACACAGAGAGAGAGAGAGAGAGAGAGAGAGAATTTCTTCTTCCTCTCTTGACTCCCACCCAAGCAAAATGTAGATTGCAAGCTCCTTGGGTGCAGGGACCTCCCTTTTCTGCTTCCACTCTAAATTTGTGCTGATGGTTGTGGCTTTATAAAATAACGAGGTGTATTCAAACTAACTTTTACTCAGAGTCAATCGGGTGAAATTAATGGATTAAGCGTTAATCCGAAATTAAGTTACTCATGGCCATTAACGTCAACAGGACCGAGTAAAAGTCAGCTGACTACAACCCAATATTGGTTTCTTTAAAAGCATTTATAAACCACTTAATAGATTATTGTTGTTTTTTTTGCAATACGCAAGTGGTG